GTGGCACTCGGCTTGGCTCGGCTGGCCAACCACGGATCGTGCACGGTGAGTGGGTCCTCACCGGCCTGGAACGTTTTGAAAGTGCGGTGGCTTGCGATGACTGGCGTCGGTGGGATTTCTCGTGCTGGCTTGTCCGTGGTTGGTGTTACCAGGATACTGCCATGGGCCAGATCAACTGTGGAGGACGGTGGTGGTAGTGTAGCTTGCACTTTCCAGGTGGTGCCAAGCGTGTTGGTGGTGACGGCTGTGATTGGTCTGGCATGCCATCCCCACTCTTGGAACAGCTTGATGATGGCTTCGCGCTGGGTTCCTCTTGGGAAAGGCCCTACCTCGTATTCAGTGCGGTCGGCACTGCCCAGGAATGGAACGTCTGGCCGGAGCTGCTTGTGGAGAGCTGGGGCATGCTGGATCCTGGTTCGGACACCGTACCGGTCTCCATTGCGTGCGACGCATGTCGCGGTCAGGTTGGCCTGCTTGGTCATCTGGGCTTCCCTGAGTGATACTTTGGGTATCCAGACGACTTGGAAATCCGGATGGGCCACGCGCCCATCCTCTGCTTTGCGTTCCATGTAGATGCCAGCCTGACCAGCGGATGTCTGGATCTCATCAATGAGGATGAGAGGGATTCGAATGTTCACGCAGAAGATGTCGGCTCTCTGAGGAGCGGTCTGCTTGAATCCACTGGTGAGGAAAGCTCGCTTCCACAGGTCCAAGATTGCTCCTTGGGTGGGGAGTTTCTGTTGGTTATGCCAGGAAGGGCATTCGCAAGCCGGCTCTTTGCACAAGGTGAGTAGTGGGACGTGATCCGTGATGTACCTAATTGGCTTGGCTTGGCGATCACTTCCGACCATTCCCCTTCGATTTGGTCTCGGTATACCGTGAACCTGAATGCTACCGAGGGGACCACCTCAACAATTTGGCCGGCTTGGGGCGAAGGACTTTCTTCTCTCCAAGCTGGATGAGCGTGCCTCGTAGGATGATGGCTTCGCCCGTAACGGCGCACATGGCAGGGAATTGAATCTCTTCGCTTAGTGCTAATGAGGTCTTTGAGTGGCTTCAGCACGATTGCAGCAAAAGCCTGGGACGATATGCATCGTCCGTTGCGGAGGTATGGTTCGGCTTCTCCTTCATTGAGGACAGCAACACCTGCAACGCATGGTCCCACTTGTTGCAGCTGGATAGCACCAAGGGGGATATCCGGCTCTTGCACAAAGGTGCCCTTGTTAATGATAACCTGGGCAGCCGGCACCTGCACCTGAACTTGTGCGGTTGCGGTTTCCTTTGGGTTCGGGCGCTTGTTCTTCCGGCCTACGGCTTGACCTGTGGCTGCACGTTGGTCAACCTGTGCTTGCAGCTCATCCGGTCGGATCCACTGGAATTTGGCTTGCGAGCTAACTACCTTGAGTGCTTTCCACTGGGCCTTGGAGGTGATGGCTTGCTGGATTGGTGTCACACCGATGGCATGCAATCCGAGCCGTGCGCGATCATGGCTTTGGTTGCTTGGCACTCCGTGGGCCTCCAGGACTGAGGCGAGTTGGGCCTGTAACTGGTCTGCATCCCCTGCTCCCCAGAAGGATGGGGCAAGGCAGGTAGCCTTGGCCTCCAGCAGTCGGGTGAACAGCTGACGCATTTGTCGGCTCTGCACTGGTCTGGGCCTGTATGCGATCTCAATTGGTGTGGGGTCTGCTATTTGCAGCAGGTTGGCTATCTGATGCACTGCATCAATATGCGCTGTGGTGGCATCGTAGAAAATGACTCTCACCCGTGCTCCATATTGGATGATGATCGGCACCCAATGCCCTTGGACCCGCAGGGCGGTGATGACATGTGTGCTGAACGCGGGTTGGGAGCTTTCCGTCCACTGACGGAGGGTGGGCACTTGTTGCTCGTACGCAGTGGTAAGTATGAGCGGGTCCAGGACAACTAGCCATTCCGGGTGCCCAACTTCCTGTGGGATTTGGCTGAGGTGAAAGTACATCTCATCGTCGGCCCACAATGGCCCGTTTGCTTCCACAAGCTGGAGCCTACTTTGGGTCGGGATGCAGTGGGCCCTGAGTGCTAGGCACTGCAGCAATGATTCCGCACGTGGGGCTGGCGTGTTGGCAAGTCCGGAGAGGGCTGGTGGTCCATGGGGTTCGACAGGCTTGAGCCTGTCATTGAGATCAGCTGGGAGTGCAAATCCACCGGCACACATGGCTGTGGACAGATAGATGCGCTGGTTGTCCCGGATGGGATCACTGGCAATGGCTGGTGGCAACAACGTGGCACTAACCTGGGTGCCTTGGTCGGCGGCAAAGTTGGCAAGGTGGCTTTCGGCCTGCTGGAGCTGCTCGATTGTTGCTCCCGCACGGAAGCTGACAGGAGTTGGAACCTGCGTGCCTGGGCCGACTGCCCAGCATGTCCTAATTGCTGTGTCACGAGCAGGTCCTGCGCTGGAGGCTCCTGGATACACGGGGGAGTCCTCCTCGATGGGGTCGGAAGTGCTCCTGCTGCCTGCTCCCCAAATACAAGGGGTGGGACAGAAAGACCTGGTGGCGAGGTACTGCATGAACGTTTGGCGCATCTGCCAACATTGTTGTAGGAAAGGCGTGGCTGGGCTGGGCAGGTTGGTGAGGTGCTGATGGATGCAAATGATAGCGGCCGGGCCGCATGTGCCATATGGTCCACCGGGACCTGAGATGTGCTCAAGAACTGCTTGCGCCTGGTCACCCTGGATCAGCTGGCCCATTTGGCGCACGGCCTCAACCGAATGCGTACCGGAAGCTGATGTGGAAAGAGTGATGCAAGGACCGAAGCGGACCAGGATCGGGATCCAATGTCCCTCAAGTCGCAGCGCGGTGATGGCAATGGTATCCTCCTGCGGGTTGACACTGCTTCTCCATTGGCGGAGCATCTCAGAGCCATGTTCATAGGCGGTTGTGGTGATTAGCGGGTCAAGCACTACGATCCTATGCTGCTCACAGGCATGTTGGGCAATGATGTGGAGATGGAAATGCATCTCGTCATCGGCCCAAATGGGACCTCTGGCGGCGGCCAGGTGTGCCCGCTGCTTGGTCGTGATATTGTCAGCTCTGATGGACAGGTATTGGCTCATGGTGCTCACAATCGGGGAGGCCTCGGCAACAAGCTGGGTGATGGCTGGCAGGGTCCCTGTTTCAACTGGTGTGGTTGGAGAGGAAATCCCGCGGTGTTCAGGCATGGCTGGGGGGCCTACGGAAATGCAAATACACTGCTCAGACTGCAGGAGCTCATGCGTTGCAACTGGCATCTGCGAGGTGGTGCTGATGACCTCGCCGTGGGATGGTGTCCAGTGAGTGAGCTTACATTCGGCTTGCTCAAGCTGACCTACAGTGGATCCGATGCTGAATCTGACAGGTATGGCAGCCTGCGTGCCTGGGCCAACAACCCAGCACGTGGGCTCCGGCATGGGCTCACTGAGATAGCGTCCTCAAATTCCTGGGATTCACAAAAAAGTGAGATCTGCTTTGGGATGCATGGTGCCAGCAGGGCCTGGCACGTGGCTACCAATGTTTGCTTGAACATAGCAAGCAGTTGCGTTGGCGATGCATGCATCGGAGGCAACCCAAACCTATTGATGGCCCAGCTGTGCACTTGCGAGAAAATCCACAGGCTTTGCATTGGAGATGCCAGTTGACCCACGGCACAAAGGTCGAGTCTTTGGTCACCGCTTGTGCACTCCAGTGGCATCATGCCAGACAGAATGGCCACTTCTGCGGGGTGCGGATGCCGACCGGAAGAGAGGCGTCCATAGGCCTCTGGCTTCAATTCTCTCATGGCGGAAGCCATTGGATCGGCACCCACAGCGGCAACCCTGCAGTTGGTTTCCCCAGGAGTGGAGAGCAGTTGGGAAAGCATGGCTAAGATCAACCTCAAGCTGTTGCAAGCCGGGCGAGTTTTCATGGAAGTTCCTGAGCTCAGAGGCATCGAGCTCAAGCTGTGCCACATCGGCTGCTGGCCACTCAGGGGTGGTGGGCATCACGGTTCGGATGGACTGCTTTGTGCCATCCTCGATCCATTGCTTAAGCGGGATCTTACCTAGTGCAGGGGAGGTGATCACACACCACCATCGGCTCCTACGGCAAGGCCATACCTGTGACAGCTGCATGACAGTTTGCGAGCACTCACTGCCTGTGCTTTCACAAAATTGCCGGATGTTAGCTTGAACATAGCTATCGGTATGGGCTTCAGCAACGCATTCCAGGATGGTTATGTGGCAACCCAGGAGGTACGATGTGAGCAAGGTCCACGGGAGGGTACCTGCACGTTGGTCCTGACCTTTGAAGCCATCTCCTCCTCGGCTATATGGCTGACATGCCACGCCTGCTGTGAGGCTTTGTGCACCCTGGCAAACGGTGGCGATTTTGGCAACGGTGCTCGGGCATGTGATGTCCGCCAGCAAGGCCTCACCTTCAAAGTTGGCTCGGAGCAACTTATGGATTGGTGGCCTCCATTCCACAGCAACCGTGGGCACAAATCCAGCTTGCTTGGCACCTTGGGACGTGGCAGCAATGCCAGCACACAGTTCGATGACCTGGGTCAAGAAAGGGAGCTGGGCAGGCTTATGCGGGTGAATCACTCCAAGGCTGTGCTGGCAGAGGTAAACCAGGTCATCTACGCACTGCACCTCAAACTGCAAGAGAGCAACAACCCCATCCGGGCAAGGGTCCTCAGTGCAAATGCGGCAGGCCTGGCGGCTCAGGGGCAAAATGCCCAACACATGTGTGCCTCGTCCGGCGACGAGCACAACTGCATTGACCAACGCGCCATGTGCGGCGCGAAGGTCCGGCTCAAGGTGCATGGCGTGCAAAGTGGGAAACTACACCTCAAGCCTCGGCCTGCTCCGTCTCGCCTGCTGGAAGGCGCTTGAGCAGAGACTTGAAAAAACACCTGAACCAAACTGAAAAAACCTAAGGAACGGACGCCTGGGAAGCGTGGGAAGCACCTGACCCATGCTCCCGAAACTTCCCTCGCCACTTCGCCTCCGCAGCATCTCGAAGATCTCAAGCGAGCCCTCCGCTGAGAGCGCCTCTGTTGTTTTTTTCTTTTTGTTTTGTTCCCCGTTGTTTTTGTCCTTTCTCGTAGCACGGGAAATCGATTGCACTCGTTCCCCGATTTTGGGGGGATCATCAAACCAAAATGAAATGGAATGGTGTTCCATGTACTTTTAATATGATTCACCCAACTGTATTGAGTTCAATTTCTGAGGCTTCTGCCTGTTTCTTCGGCATCGGTCTGTAGTGGATTCAGCCGCTGCACGTCTAACTTCGCATCTTTCCAAGCTTGTCGCAGTCTTCTAGTCTGGGAGTCTGCTCATGGTCTTGTAGACCTTCAGCCTTTGAGAAGTCTTTTCCACTGACGCGCTGGCAAGGCTTCTGAGAATTAAACAATATAATCGGTTGGTTGATCGACTTGGTTAGCGGTCAGGTCGATCTTGTTCAATAACCGTGCCCCTAAACGGCTTGCTTGGGCGCTGTAAAATACAATATCGCCATTGCTCCTCATTCTCAGTTTGCAGTGGTTCTTGCATAGCTCGAGACCTTGTAAATGGATGGATGTAGCTTTAAAAAACGAAGATGCATGGTTTGTTCTCTTCCAAAGTCAGGTCCTGTCGTTGACTACGCAAAGTGCTGGAACCCAATCCAACATGTTGGTCAATAGGCTTAAATTTATATTCATGAAAGCGACCTTTGGGACAGCCGGCTGTCCAACGCAAAGTCTGGCAGTGCGGCGAGCGAGGCTCAGCCACACGATACAAGGCGTGCAACACAAACCGCTGATCCACCAGCGAGTGATCCGCTCGTGATCCGCGCCAGAGCAAGCAACTGGTGTGCACCATCTTCCGTGCAAACCCGCCGCTTCTTTGCACGGCTTCGTGAAAACCCCCTTTAAAGTCGGTCACAGGGGCCGTCAAAACTTCTTGGTCCGCGCGCAGAAGGCCGTGTGCCAACTACTGTGGCTGTGGCTCAGCCATAAATGGCTCCCAACTGTCACCTTGGATGGAACCGAAGACTAAAACCTGCGGTTTGCCCGAAGTCGATTTTTTTTTGAGCCACAGCCATGTGGTGAAAACTAACAGGAGGCCGTGTTCCTGGTGTATGTTGTCAACCTAATCTTGGGAACAACCGAGTAAGCCATTTTTGGGAACCTATGCTTTGAACCTAGAGATCCGGTTCAGCTGTGGTCATGGCTTTCCTGCAGAATCATTACAATGATTCTGCAGGATGCTTTGGCGGATGACCATCCATCTCCTAACCCCAAGAGCACAGGGACCCGTGGTTTGACCCTGGCCCACATGTGTTCGCCTGTCGAACCAGAATCCAATTAAGACTTGGATCAGCGGCCGTGTAGACCCAGCATGCGAGTTCTGCACTGCCATGTGGGTGGCTGGCCTCTTTTAGCGGCCCCAAATGGTGGCTTCCCTTTAAAACCTACCAACAAATCGGGTACCTTCAAAAAAAGACACCATATATTGCCAGAGGACTTCTGCAAAATCTTCAACCATGCGGTGGCTTCTCCGAAAGGCCCCTTCTGGAAAGCCAGCGCGTGAACTGCTTTTCTATTTTACCCCCTTGACGCTTAAAGGAAGTGCCACATGTGCTTCGATTCGCCGGGCGCCGGACGCTAGTGGCTTCGTCCAGCAGAAGCAGCTCGGGCTGGCCTGACTGTCTGACATGCCTCGACTGGCAGAATGGGTTCTACTTGGAGTGTTCGGCCAAGAAAGTCATTGCTCACCCGTCCCCCAAGTGGGGATAGCCTTGTCACCTTGGCTATAACCCACTTATAAGTCCCAGTTCCGTGAGGTTAACCTTGTTGTTGTTTGGGGGTACCCCAGTTGGCTGACCATCGAACATCCAAGAGGGCACTTCAGGTACTGGACCACGCTTGGTGCTGGTATCTCGCCCAAACGATCAAGGCGCAAGCATAGCCAAACTGCCACGGAACCAAGTCATACGGGCTGCCACTCCAGCCGGACAGGGACCTCTTCAGGCACTTCCAGCCGGACTGGGCGGCTCCTCGTGCTTTAAATTAAACGGAGCCCAGGTTTGGTGGCAAAACCGAAACCAACAGGAAACCAACAGGTTTGCTTTAATAAATTTGCAGGACACCACCCGGAAAACCGAAACTTGCTCAAATCCCGGTATTAAAATGGTTGACCCAGAACCATGTAAGGACATACAAAGGCGGATATCCGCAGCTGTTTCTGGTTGGGAGTGTCCCTTACCAACCTTCATCAACCCGAGTTTTGACTGTGCCTCATTTTGCGGGTTCCAATACTCCTGAACAGGGATCCTTACATTATACACCTGAACATTGCCTTGTAGATGGTGGTTTCCCTTTATTTGGTGGAAAAAGCCATGTTTCAACTGGGCAAAATAAATCTTTTGAGGAGCCCTGTTGAAATAGCAGCTATATAGTCCATGGTGGCTAATGATCAACTAGTGAATGAAACCTCGTTCTTTTGGGCCACACCCTCACTGACGGTTTGGGGGTAGAAAAAAAACCTTTGAAAGACCATCGCCGAGGAGCTATGTGCTGAAAAAGAGGAGCCAGCGACACAAATATCAGGCGAGGGAGAGGCTGGCGCAGGCGCGAAGGCCCTGGGGCCCCTGCTAAGAAGCGCCCGCGCGAAGGCCAAGCGCTGCTGCTCCCCGCCGCTGAGCAACAAGGCCTCGATTCTCGGAATCGTCTTGGGGGTTTGGGTGGGGTGGGTGGGCTGGGTGGGGGTGGGGTGGGTGGGGGGTGGTTTGGGGGTGGCCATTTGCTTTTTCGTCCCCAGTTCGGGGTTAGGCTCAAGTCACTTCAGCGATCGGACCTTGCGGAGCTTCCGACATGAGCTCTTGGACACAGCAGGTCCCAAGTGAATCAATCCCGGCCCAAGAGCAAAACCCCTCGAATTGTGAGAGGTCGATTCCGCCGAGGCTACACAAAGCAAAGAGCGTGTGAAACATTCGCGTAGACCACGAAGGCTCGGCATCAAAATGACACAAACCATACGGTCCGTCGGTCCGATTCCTTTCAAATTTGAACAAACAAACAAGCGCGGATACGGAGGGAGCGAGGATATGGGGGGATTCCCTTGGCGCCATTTCCCATATCAAACTTAGTCAAGGTGCATTTAGGGGGAATCCTCCCGTATCCCTGGTATTTCCTGTATCCCTGCTAGTTGATTTCCCTGACACATGGCTTTATGGCTGTGCGCCTCATGCGCAAGCGCAGATTTGACGCATTCGCAGCCGCAAAATCTGACAACCGCCCAGTTGCACGCATAGCGCTTTCGAGCTCCCGACCCAGTCTGCCTCTTCATGCAACTTTCGACCTCAAAGGCCGCGCCGGCGCACATGGCAGGCAAGGCAAACCTCCGAAGCCCTAGGTGCTGTCGCCTTCAAGAAATCTCTCTCATTGGCCCACTTACTTGTTTTTTTGCATGTCTCGGTCTCAAAGAGAAAGTGGGGCTGACACAAATGTGGGAAACGATCAATATGAGATGGGATCCACATGTAGATTGCTGACTCACATTTATCTAAAGTTGTTGAAGGCGTGTAGCAGAGGGGTTGATCAAAAGGTCCTTTACAAAAACAACCACTCGATCAGAGGATTTCGCCCTGGGAAAAACTTACCCTGGGTCGCTCCGAGGAATCTTGATCAAGCTCCATAGGTTCGATCTGTTACCCAGCTGTGAATCCCACGTCCATCGATCTGCCCGGCACTCCCTATCCGCCAGATAAATGTTCCCTGTTGCTGTGTTTCAAGTCCAAAGGACCACCGGAACCCATTTTGGGGGGGCTCCGATTCCTAAAAAAAACAAAGGCCACGCAAATGGCTCTTCATGGCGAGGGCACCAAAGTGGCCTAAGCACCAAGGGAACGCTTGAAACATGCCAAATGCGGCAAAGCTTCACCAAAGACCCGATCCCCAAACAAGATCCGTGCCATTCAACATCATTCAACAGGCAAATGTTGAACACCTGCTGAAAGACGCATCAAGTCAAAGGCTAATACATATACACACATGGCTTCAGGCCAGAGATCTAACACTCAAACATGAGTTGCTTCCTCTGGAAAACATGGGCACATCGGCTTGTCCCCCAAATGTCCTTCCCTGTCTCGGTATCCCAATTTCCCACACGGTAGCCCAATCTTTCTGCTGAACTTATAGTCCCGAAGCAAAGGCCCTACATCATGGCATTCGATCGTTTTGCCCGATCCTCGGAATTGCTCGAAACCCATCCAGCACCCCCCAACTGCTGTTGCCCATTGCAAACGATGCTGCCCAGTGGATCCATTCACCTGTACAGTAGGTACCCAAGGGAACCCGTTAAAAGCCAGAAGGAAGATAGCTGGTTACCTAGGATAGTCCTAATTGGGATCCACTGTCCATGAAACGATCGCCACTTTTGGAGGTGCCAAAAAAGTGGGAAATGGCTCGGAACAAAATCTGTTAACGGACCCCTGGATGAAACGATCGCCATTTTTGGAGGCTCCAAAAAAGTGGGACATGGCTTGGAACAAAATCTGCTAAGGGACAGCTGGATGAAACGATCGCCACTTTGGAGCTTCCACAAAGCGGTATGGAGGAAACCCAACGTTGGGACCCTGGTGAACAAGATCCAGAGATCCCCCTTTGCCTGTTCAGAACTGTGGTGAATGGCTCGGAACAGTTCTGTTGGGACCCAGGCGCAGAAGAATCTCAACTCATTTTCTGGCAACTCATCCCCCACGACCCAGTTTTTCGCTGCGCCTTCCAGGGTCGCAAGGCCCAAGGCCTACGAGCAACGAGAAACCGAGACGAAAACGCACCCAAAACTTGCGGCTTCCATTTGGTTTCCGCATCGCCCCCAAGTAGCTACCTCCTGATGAATACACCCCCCCCACTTCTTGTTCAAAGCGATCACGTTTTTGGTTGGGAATCCTTTCTTCCAGAAATAAACCTCCTTGATTAACAACCTGCGGGGGTGTGTTCATCAGGGGTCGGCATTAAGTAGGAAACCGCCCGATATGACTTTCAGATGGTGGGCTCCAAGAGAGAAATCAACCACTTGATCCACTTGGAGGGATCCTTAAGTTTGCATCCCGAGGCCCATATCCGTTGTACCCGATCCATTCCCCACAGAATCAGGAAGCGCCTTTGTCAGAATGAATGCAACTAAGCTTCCGTCAAACAAACAAACAGCTTTTGGACTCACCTTCAACAACAATGCCTTTGGCAATAAAGGACCAACTATGTTCTTGGTAAGAGCACAACGCCAATGCCTCTGGCAAGAAAAAAACACAAATACAGTGTCAATATGTCACTATCTGCTATTGGGTATTGCCAAGAGCCACTATGACGTGAATCAAGCTGTGCTGTGCGACCAGCATGACAGCACTCTGGCGAAACTATTCAAAGGCACTCTAAGAGATGGCTTATGCGGTGATGGTTCAGAAAAAAATCCGGAGGCAACGCAATATCAAGTCTCAAGCAGAAGAGCGGCGAGATCAGAAGTGGAAGCGAATTGGGAGAGGCCCAAAGACTTCGAGCGGGATCTGTGAGTCAGGAAGAATCGGTTCCAACACATCGAAGCTCACTTTCTTTCATGGATCTGCTGGTGCCCTTGTCCCAACGTGCAGCTCTAAGGTCGTCTTACCCATCAGCTCTTCCACTTCCAGGAAAAAGGGGCTGCAGCTTGACATGTTTCGGCCAAGAGGGCACGGGGGCCTCACAAACACCAAGCCCGTAAGCCGCCCAGCAGGCTTTCATGGCCACATTGGGACTCCAAACTCGGAGAGCGTCAGCAGTGCTGACTCAGCACTCCACCCCGCCCCTGCATGAAAACAAAGGCCCCAAATCGAACGGGAGTCTACGCTTGAACCCTGTGCAAAATGAACAGAGAGCGATGTTTGCAAACAGAACACTAGCACAAACAGAACGGGCAGCTTGGCCCGTGGCGCCCTATTTCCCATTCAGTACCCAAACTCAACTTTCCCCCAAACAGGGGTAAACAAGCGGAAAAACAACACCGAACCTCGGATACGAAAAAGAACGATGAGCGTGGAACAAAACGAGTGTGAAACAGAACTCTGCATGCGGAACAGGCAAATGCATCGTGTGCTCCAACAGCTGAGGGGAACAGATCGATGTTTTTCACTGAGTGTGCGTTCCCTCGTGTTTGTCATGACGAAAACAAACAAATCCCAAAAACCAAAAAGCAGTGGATGGGGAGTGCTGCAAATCATGTCTTTCAACTAGCACCTCTTTGAATCCAATGATCCACAATGCGTGCAACATTGGTCAAATGGATACAAGGTCAAGACGCAAACCATTGTCTTGCGATTCTCACATCGCCTTGAGCTGGGGCACAGGTAAAAAGTGGGACACCAACTGCATGAAAGTAAAACAAATCGGAGGACCCCGCCACTGAACAATGGGGTTCTCAGGGGCTTTCCGCTCCCCTGCTTCAGTAAACCGTCTGGGCAAATATTCACCGGCTGCTTGCGCCTCTGTGAGTTGCTTAACAATACGTCCTTCCTTGCCTTGATATGATTCCGTTTGTTTCACCAGGGACAGAACCAGAAAAGCCAGTCCTTCAGTGGGAAAATTCGGCACGCGTTTCTTAGTTGACAAACGGACACCCCCCAGAAAAAGGTCCAGACAAAAAGCAGGAGGCAACCCTACGAGAAGACCAGTAGCAGCCTGCATGGCAGTCATCACCTCCTCATCTGAGAAACTCGAGGCACCTCGCTGCTGCCAAAGGAGGACTCCATGTTGAACAAGGCTGTGGGAAATGACCACTCCTATGATGCAATGACACAACAACAAGGGGTTCCCAAAGACTAACCCCCCATATAAAGGGACAATTCCCTTGTATCACAGAAGTGAGTATAACAAGTGAGTCACTTGCTCAAAACCCGGCATTAAAATGGTCGACCCCGAACCATGCAAAGCATTAAGAAGGCGGCCGCAACTATTTCCGGCTGGGACTGCCCCTTACTAACCTTCATCTGCCCGGGTTTTGATTGTGGCTCAAGTGATGCTGTCAAAGACTGGTGTCTTTGTGACAAGTGGCGTGCAAGGGGTTAACGACAGCGCAAGCTGCTTTGCAAGTCGGTCAGTATGCTTTAATAGCTTGCAGCTTCACTTTGACATGTGTCCTTGCTAAAGATACCAGCTCATTGACAGAAGAGCATAACAAACAGCCAGAGCGGGTGCTTGCGCAGAATAGCTTCAAGCTTTGATACGTGACTGGACAGTGAGGAACAGTCAATGCTTCGAAGAAACAATTTGCTGTCTCAGTTGCAATTAGCGTCTGTGTTTAGGCCCCCCCCAAAAAAAACAATCATGTTTTTCCTAGTGGTCTTCCTTAAGAAAACAACAACAAAAAACACATTGGTCCCCAACAAAAGTTCCAGACCCATTTGCCTCCAGTTCCCGGCCAGTTTTTCTTCGCGTTTTTTTTCTCGCCCGAGAGCGGTTTGGAGCCCGGCAGGCCGGATAGGTGATGGCCTGTTTCAGCGAGCCCTGAGGGATGTAAGACCTCAGCTCCAGGTCCGTAGGTCCGTTTTGCGTGTCTTAGCTAAGCGCAAGCTCAGCTTCGCCCCGCGTTTCAGGGCGGCTTGGGATTTGTGGCGGAGGGGTTTCCCAAGTTCCTCTCTACAACAAGGGATTCAACCCCCCCCCAAACCTATGCAAACCACCAATTCGTGGTTACCCTCCCACCAATTAACAGCCGGACACTTTAAAGGAGAATGGTCTTCCAGGACGCCTCGCCGGTCAGGTTACCTGACTAACCCGGAGAAAGCAAAAAACACACACACACACACACACCCACGCACGCACGCACGCACGCACGCACGCACGCACGCACGCACGCACGCACGCACGCACGCACCCACCCACGCACCCACCCACGCACCCACCCACCCACCCACGAACACACACACACACACGAACACACACACACACACACACACAGACACACACACAGACACACACACACACACACACACAGACACACACAGACACAGACACAGACACAGACACAGACACAGACACAGACACAGACACAGACACAGACACAGACACAGACACAGACACAGACACAGACACAGACACAGACACAGACACAGACACAGACACAGACACAGACACAGACACAGACACAGACACAGACACAGACACAGACACAGACACAGACACAGACACAGACACAGACACAGACACAGACACAGACACAGACACACACACACACACACACACACACACACACACACACACACACACACACACACACACACTCTTGCAGGTCTCACTTGCGCGGATCAATTCTGAGAATGTTGGGCGCAAATGATCCTAGTTGCATCCCCTGGCGCCCGAAAGAAAAAAACAAAAAAAAACACCAAGGTTTTGTTTGGAACGAACGCGATGAGCAACAAACATCAACAATTTCAATCTCGCTCCATCTGGTCGTGACAATGTCGTATATCTTCCGTAGGCGGACCGCAGTGCTCGGCTGCTCTCTATGATCTGTCTCGGCCCTTCGCCTCAATCGATTTGTCTCACAGGAACCACTCATTTGCCGGATTGTCCACTCGCTATGGCGAAAAAGTCACGGTTGTTGCGTCCGGCTCAGGTTGGTCCTCTTAGTAGCTCTTCGGGATTGTTGCAGTTCTCCAAGAGGGAGCCAAAACTTCCGTTTGCTTATGCCCCCTGGAACAAATGGAAAACATATTCCAGCAGTGATAGATTCCCTGAGGCACCAAAAAGGGAGAACCTTCAACATGTTCCTTTCAGCAAATGGAACAACAAGGTCCCAAACCAAACCAAACCCGCCCAGTCAGGTTTAGGAGCCCTGCTTTTGCGGCAGGAAGAGCGTCTTCTCGGGCAGGAAGACTTCTCCACTCGCATCTGGCCTTGGCCATCTTGGCGAGCAGAATGCTGGATGGAGATGAAACAGGAGACCCACAGATTGGATATGTTTCTTTTGTTTTTAACCAAAGATTCAAAAAAAATGAAAACATGGGTAGAATATGGGTTTGGTTTTAAACCAGAGGTAAAATGGGTAGACACACACACAAACACATCTATGCACTGTCTATCACGAAAGCAGTGTTGCAAACGGCCAACGCCTTTGGAAGCCCAATGCAGAAGGAATGCTGGGGGAAGCCGCAATCATCAGGTTTTTCAAAGGTGTTGGTTCACTGCAAGGCGACATCTATTCAGCTTCCCTCGAAAAGGGTGGTTTGGATTGGTGGCTTGGTGGTTGAGGGTGGTTTTCGTCTGCCCTCTACAAGAACCAGGGCTTCAAATCTAAATCCCCAAAGCAATCCAAAGCACCAACCTGAGGGCTACCTGATCTACAGCACCCTGCAAAACCTGGGGACACGCTCGGCTTATGTTAACCCTCAAAGTCTCATTGGTTTATCTTCAGCTGCTCCGAGGAGTGCCATTTCTAATTAGCAGCTGGCGACAAAGCAAAGGGCTGGTTGCTGTCCTTGCAGGGATGCCACCTACATTGACAAGGCCTGCAATGTAAGCACAATGGGGCAAAGGCACTTCAAGCACTTGCAAAGTGGAGGTTTTCGTGTCCTCATCAAGTCGGCAGCTCCGAATACTGACAACTCCCGCTGGCAAAACCCAAAGACAGGCTTGCATATTCATCCCAACATGAAGCGATGCAAGGAACCACAGGGAACGGAATGCCATGCCATACTGTGGATGGACGAAATCCTGCACCACCTAAGAAACCCTGGTTCCTGATGATTTGCCTGTAAATACCCACAAATTAATGGTTTGGTGTGGTTCAACTTGGTGCAATACTTCGTCCATGCACAGTTCTCTCCCAAATCCCCATCCTTCCATCTGCGCTCTCCCCACTTGCTCCATCTCAAAGCCGCCGCGTTATGTTTTTCATGTTTTTTGTTTTTCTCGGGCACAAAACCCGGAGAAACCAAAAACCCAACACGAGATGCCATGCAACATGCGCTGTCACAATAGGGCAGCCGATCAGCGCTGATGGCTGCCCTAAACCAAGGGGAGAGCACCTCTATAGGTGGGGATCGACAAAAAACAATAAAATACTTGGGGACCCTTTGGGCATCATTCGCATGGGGATTTATGTCCGACCATTTCTTTGAAGGAAAATTCCAAACATTGAAATTTAGAGCCAAATGACCCCTTCTCAAAGCTTGGGACAAGTTCCTCCCAGGTTCGTTTCCTTTCGATCCCCTCCAAAACCCTTCCAAAACCCTCCAGGTGGTTGCCTTCCTTGCAAGACCCACACCAACAGCCAGGCGCTTGGCTTCCCTCCGAACCCGCAGCTTTCCAAGCCCCACGACTGGCCATAGGGAACCGGCCCTTTGAAAAGAGCCCCGACTCCGAACTCCTCCAAACCGCTGGTTTGAACGGGGAATCTTTGCTCGACTCCTGCGCCGGGCGCAGCTGGGAACCTTCCTGGGGGCTCCGGGCCACAGCCCGGCCATGGCGCGGAAGAAGCAGCTCTTGCCGCTACCCTCCGGCGCCGAGAGCAGCACAAACCTCTGCGAGCGGCTCGGCTGGGGCTGCTTCGCTTCGGCTTCGGCTTCGGCGCTTCGCCGGATTTTTTTTGGGGGCCCGTCCATGGGAGGCGGTGCAAGGAGAAAAAATCAGGTTATTGTCTGGGAGAAAAGGACTCGCATTTCCTTTGGAGTATTTTGGGGGGGTGCAAGGGGGATTCCCTGTAACTCTAGGGGACCCTTTCCGGATTTGGAAGAAAAACAAATAAAGTGGCGTGGAGTCCCATTTTAGCGGGGATGGTCCCCTAAGGCTCCCCAAAGAACCCTAAGGAACCCGAAAGGGGCTCTCAACTACCCACACCCTAGGGATTCCATAACACCTGGAACAAAAGGACCGAAAACCATGGAAAAGAAGGGAAGCCGGAGGGAACAGGACAAACACAAACAACCAACAAAAAGGGACTTAGGGGGAATCCACAGATCAAATGCGGATCAATTCCTCAGGGTACCCTTCTTTTGGTGAAAAAAGGGAAACCATAGACCTTCCCATGTGTTATAAGCCAGGTTCTGAAACCATTTGGCTATCTCAAAGGGAAAGCGACATGATTTTCCTGGGAATCCCAGAGAAAAACACGGGGTGTCAATACTTGACCGCTCAAAAACCGGGCCCCCCGCATGTCCCCCCCCTCAGATTGCAAGCAACCGAATCTGCAAGTTTGTTCTGTGCCCTTCATCTGGAGCCAGCCCAAAATTGACAACCATTCAAGTGAGTTGCCAGCAAGTTTCCCTCACTCGTTCTGAAGGGCGGAGTCTCCGGGGTGAAAAGGGTCATGCCCGCTTTTGACAACCAGCTCTTGTTTTGTTGCTTGCCATACTCTCTCTCGCAATATAGGCACACACACATGGAGGCATACCCAAACACGGGCACAACTACAGAAAGTTAGGCAGACTGTTGCATTGTCCGGGTGTTTGACCGTTGTGCCGTGTGTATTCGCTTTTGCCTCGTGACCAGGTGACGTTCACCAAGCTGAATAACAATATGGGTGTGTCTTTTTTTAGGGCCCTTTTGTGTTCTGTTTCTAAAAGGAAACCAACAGGTTGAAGCAAGTGAGCCACCAGCTGTAGACGACATGCTTTAGGTCACTTTTAATCTATGGACGGCAGTCAACAGCTCAGACTTGCTCAGCCGCAATCCACTTTCAGCTGTATGAAAGGCAGGGATCCTCGCTAGTTTCTTCGGAAGGGATGCCCGTCTGAAGCGGCCACCGCCACCCTAGTGGACAAGTGCTGCTACATGAAATCACCGACATGCAGGCTGCTTTCCTATCCAAATTGGAAGCAGGGGCCCTTTTGGAGGATTAGACCAAACGTGGGTATGTTTTTTTGTCGGGGACACTCTGGGTGGACATCATTTATGCGGGGGTGTACGTCCACATGAGATTTGGAGGGTTCCCGATTGGCCAACAAGAAGCAGGCCACAAAAATCGTCATTCTCCACCGCTCAATAGATCCTAGCAAGGTTCGGATATGTCCACCGTGGGTGCGTCCTCAAAGGGGCGCTTACGACTGATGTCGAGGTCGACAAAAGCACCTGTCTCAGTATCAAAGGCCTTGGAATTGCTAGAACGCATGTGAAGAGCACGGAAATCATCTCTGGCCTGCTGAGAGGTCTCCAACTGATGGCGAAGTTGAGGATCCATGTCCATCAGCTCAAGGCCAAGTGGTAACAACTCATCAATGAAAGCATTCAGATCTGCGTCACATTTCTGCTTCTTGGTCTCCGGTGCATTGGATGCTGTAGAAGGAGCTGAACGCGCGTTTTTCCAAGCCAGAAATTCTTGGAACTCAGCGCTTGAAGGATGTGGGAGAGAAGCAACCTCCGGGGGTGAAGCCTCCTCCTTCTGTTCAGTATGGCCTTCTGAGGGCCCAGTTAACATGGCGAAATGCAGAAAAGGCTGGACTGCTCAGCGACTCGTGCCAAAAAGCCTTTCAAGAAATTCTGCTATGGATGACTCCATCGGAGACTCCTAAGGCGTTACAGGCCTCAGAGTGCAGTGAACTGCTCGACCCTATGAGAGCGAGCTGCTGGATCTCCGCCCAACATTCCGAATTCCCTCGACACTACAGCAGAGAGAAGCATTAAAGAAGTTATGAGCGACTATCACTCCGGCACCTTCCTCCCCAGCCTGAACACCTTGTTGGAGGCATGTCAGCAGTTTTACAGCTTTGCCTCTTCTGAGTTTGCGGGCAGTCAGCTACGCCTCGACATGCAGGATTCTCGTCTCAAGTCCTTGGAGGCCTCAAGGGCCAATCGTACTGTCCTTTTGCGCGGGCTGCCGGCAACAGGCTTCAACCGAGCAATTCTGGATAGACATATGAAGATGTTTCTTGAAGCTGCTTCGCTTTCATGGAGTGACGTTTCGGCAATGCACAACCATATCGTCTCCAGCGATTCGTCCATTCTCAGGGTCGAGTTTGTCACAGAGATTTCTCGCAGAAATTTTCTGGACTCCATGCGTTCGCGCAAGTGGACGTGGCGATTTGACTGGCACGAGTCCAAGGTCAGGGTAGAGCATGATGTCTCTACAGACGACCGCCTTGCCGTGCAGCCTTTTTATGCTCTTGTCGATATCTTTTCTCAGTTTTTCGGACAGGGTGATGCGTCCCCGCTGCAATTGGACCGCAACACCCTTCAGATCTGGCCATCTCGGGACGCTCCCGACCAGACCATGCTGGCCCAGGTGGCCTATGTACTTGACCCACGCACTGTGCGTAAGTATGCTTGCGCCATCTACATCCTCGACAAGCACTACACCCTGGTCCTGGAGAAGTTTGCCGTCGCGTTTCGAACGCGCATGCGCTCCACCCTGTTGTTGGTCCAAGGCCTCCAGCGTGCAGTGCCTGACCGAACCACTCTGGCCAGGCATGCCTATGACAAGGCGTTTGACCTTGCGAACGTGTCCAACCCGTTGGTCCATTTTCCTTATCAGGTCATTCCTATTCAGATGTCCACTTCATTGTCGAAGATGCAGGAGCAGCACCCTTCGCTCCCAATGCAGGGTCAGTCTGGGCTCTTGGCGGTTGTTTCCCAGGCTTTTGCAGATTCAGGCATCAACGCCGACGATTACGGCAAGAATGCTGGCAAGGCCAAGCATTCTGTGCAGAAGGGAAAAGTCGGCAAGGGAACAGGTCGCGGCCAGGGGGCTCAGGGCAGGTCAGTGTGGTCTGATCGTACCCCGGATCAGAGTAGTTGGCAGAAGGACTATCGCTGGGATGGTGGCGGAGATGGTGGCGGAGACGGTGGGAATGAGTCTTGGGGTGGATGGAGGGGTTCTACTGGTTGGAGTTCCTCCAATGACCCTTGGGCGCAGTCGGCTGACAAGGGCCGTGGCAATAACAGCCAGACTGGTCGCGGCAAAGGCTACACTGGTCGCCAGTCATCCTTCAGGGGGACACGTGGCTCTACCGTGCTTGAAGTGGTACTCTGCCAGATTTGCCTATGCGCCTTGGGTGTCAACAAAGCGTGTGACAAGTGTGCCGGCTCCAGCTTGCCGCCCAACTTCACTCACAAGCAATCCTGGCCCGTTGAGCTTGTTTACTGCCCAGGCGCCTTCGATGGCGGGATCTGTGAGGCCCCTTTGGGGTTTGGCAAGTGCTCCCTTTGCTTTGAGCACCAGCAGTTTTGGAGGAGCGAGACACATCAGTCAACCTGGGTTCAGCTACCTCCTATCCGCAAGGCCCAGATATTGCAGCTTGCCCGTACGGTTTCTTCTATGCGCTCTTTGCAGTTTGAGCCCAGTCTACTGAAGAACGCGTTGGACACGCTGTTTTCTTTCTTCCATGATGTTCCAGTTCCAGAACTTGATAAAGAGCAGTGGGCCGCCAGATGGATTTGCTCAGCCTTTGACGCACCTACTTTCCTGCCGTTGCTGCAGACGCTGGTATCCCCCTTTCAAATGCCAACTTGGGAGATCTATGATGATGGTTCCCTTCCCTGCCCTAGCAACTTCTTTGGGTTCCCGCACTTGCTGGATCATTCCATACTTGCTCACTTTTTTGCTGAGTTGACCCGTGATGAGTGGTCACAGCGCCATGGTTCTTACCGGCTCACCTGGTCAATTGGTCAGTGGGCAGCTTCAGCAGATGTACGCTATTCTCACATTTTGCCATGGGATGAGCTTATAGCATGCTCGATTAGTTTTGCTTTGGAAGATGTTCAGCTTCAAACCAGCCGTCCAGGCCCCTCTGGAGACAAGTGGCATGTGGACATTTTTGATTATTTGATTTTACCATTGCGGTCTACTATCACTACGGATTTCGTTGACGCACTGTCTGCTGAGCTGGCCTCTCTAGTTTCTGCTGAGAGTTCCTACAAGGACCTTTTCATGGGGAACCCGCCCTTCACCAACGTAGCTCTCAAGGATTTGGCTGCTTTTGGCTCCAATCTGATTGATGGTGCATACTTGCAGATTTCACGCGTATTTGGCATACATGGTTCAGGACAGGACAGTGCTCAACTACAATTTCCCAACGAACAGCTTGTGATTTTCTTTGCTTCGACGGCGCAGTTCCTTCGCCTCCCACAGCTTCAGGCATCAACCCCCTTGCAGCAATCTCGAAGTATCATGTCAACACTGCTTTACTTGGTTGCGGAGGATGGTTACCACCTTCTCTTTTGGCGAATTATTTGGGTTTCACTTCAGCTACAATTCTCAAACTCTTCTTTTGCTTGGGTGGAGCGGGTAAAGTCCTGACTATCACCCTTGGATCATGCGCTTGGAACAAATCCTGTCAGCATTGCTGTGCTTGAACTCGTGAATCTGTGTTCTGATTCGGAGGGAAACTTTTCCTTTGGGTGGCAGCTGGCTCTTGTGGTTCCGCTCCGTTTCATTTCAGGCAGTTGTGTCGCGTGCTTCAGTAACAGACCAGCTCCGGTTTTTGTCAACGTGGAGACAACCCCCCTTTTACCAGGTCGGAGATTCCCTCGGCTGGCCTTAGAAATATGTCTCACTGGTGGTATGTCCGGCTTATTTAATGAATTTT